GCTGCTAACCAACCAACCATCTCGTGGTGGCTAATAAGTGCGGACACACTAACGCCTGTCTCTCTCAATTTATCTGGCAAATCACCCTTTAAGGCTGTGTCATACAAAGACCGCTCTCGATGCTTCTGACGATTCCCGCGCTCAGACGCTGCCTGGCTCCGGTGCAGACCTTCACTCTTTTGACAGTCAAATTCCTCGTACCTATTCTCTACCTCCTTCTGAACAGAATAAACTATTTATTCCAATCTGGCCTCCTACTTCTTCTCTTCCACAACGAATCGGACCTCAAGATCGCAACGGCTAGGGTTTTACCTAGTAATTTAAACCCATGCGATAAGCGTCCTTGTACCACTACACTATGGGACACACGGTGCTAATCGACGGTCGAGCTGTCGGCTTAGTGGTGTCACAGATCAGATCTATGAAAAATGCCATTTTTCTCTCCAAACCCAAAAATACGCCTCAGTAGTTTAAAAGAGCTTACGACCGTCTGTGGACCAAGTGGAATAAGTGTGGGCGGCCAATCAAGCGCTGACTCGCTAACTCCAGGATTATTATTGGCGCTAACGGAGTGTAGTATGCATAAAAATCCACGAAACACTGGCGGGATTTTTCATATTGTAAAGCTGGAACTTTGGATGTTTTGAGGCAATCTAGAGGATCTATGTTCGATTTTTGGAAAGCCGCGATTCGTTAGCGCCTTGCATCTGACAGTATCGGATCAGTTAACAGATGAAACCAGGATACGAACGCAAACCTTTACCTTGATCATAATCCCGAAGTTAACCCCAACCTTAAGTCTAATCCTTAACTTAAGACTCACCTTTATTCTAAAACTAAGTTTCTCCGGAATTCCGCGCAAAGTCGCATACATTGTGACGGTCCCTGTTCCCCGATCCTGTTAAGGGGGTTATACAAGTCACCCCTACCGGGAAAACTTATTATAACCGAGCATTGAACCGATCTCGTACGACTATATCGCATTGCAATCCTGCTAAAGCCTGGCATAGATTTTCAAAAGTTGTGGCATTTCAGTTTGCCAGTTGTTAGGATCAATGGGTGGTCTGGATTGCTAGCCGGATTGCAACGGCTGCTTCCTAATTGAGCTTCTGGCAAATACGATACAAGTGAACAAACTCTGGTTTGCGTAAGGCAAATGAAAAGCAAATGTGTGGCCTGCATAGTGGACGGTAATACCATGCCACACCTCGCCGGTCATCTCAACTCAACGACGCGTTCCCGTCGAGACGAGCTGCTTGTATGCAGAGTTGGTGTGGAAGATGTAGAGCTGGCCTCTCACTGCAATCCAATTCACATGCAGTTCGCCAGAGAGGCAGCGATGGCCTCTTCTGACTTCGATATACTGACTATATCCTCCCGGCATTTAAAACTCGGTAGTTATTACCTCGTCTTTCTCTTCGGGACAGTCAAATATGACCGGGAATATAATTGTAGTGACCCAACTCCGTGCGTAATGCAAGCCTCTTTCGGCTGCTAATACGTGCGCATGAACCAACTTCTGCCTACCACGATCCTGTCTGGTCAATCACCTTCTAGGCTGACTCACACAGGGGCGCACTGCAACGAATGCTGTGCTCACACACTTCGGATTTCGCCTCCCTCGGGTGCGGACGCGCACTCGTCCGACAGTCAAATTCCTCCAACCTATTCTCCACTAGCGCTGTACAGAATATACTATTCCTCCCACTTGGGGTCCCACTTCTCTTTCCACATGGAACTGGGCCTGAAAGGTCTTCCCTATTAATTTAAACCACTGCGATATAACTTTCAGGCAGCATAAGTTCATTTTTCGGCTTACCTTTAGTTGTTTTTCGCATTCGGCCTTTTGGGTTTGAAGTTCACACTGAGCCCGTTCTGTCTCAGCCAGCTTTCGAGATAGCTGTAGACAGTGCTCGAGACGTCGTGTGGCAAGTGTGGGAAGCAGCGGACCCGTGGATGGCACCTGCCCATTTGCTGTCACAGGGAGTACGCCCAGATTGGCGATTTTCAGTAGAGTTCTGCTGGTGACTTTCCCATCATCCGCCGGCATGTCGTCGAGGATTTGCTCCGCCGAGGCCTCTATTACCCTGTCGAGTTCTTCCTCCATTTGGTTGTAGGCCGCAAGTCGACGCTCAGCTACCTGCAGTCTTGCCTCCAGTTGGGCTAGTTGGACTTTTCTCTCGGAATCGAGCTTAAGCGAAAAGAGAGTGAGAAGAATTTTGAGAGGAGGAAAATGCAAAAATTCGGTCCACCTAACAGTAAGGGGTTTGGGCGCATATTCGAGTAAAGAAGAGAAACATCGCAAAACTAAATATCTACCTACCCCGAGCCTGCCATCCAGGTATTCAGACAGTTTCCGCTGTTATTTGCGTATGGCAATTCATACGGATTAGAACTCCAGATGGAGCTCTGCTCTTTTTTAATAGACGGTAAGTTCAGTATACTTTACTTTTCCTGTTGAGGGTGGAACTCTACTAGCTTGGAGTTCAAACCGTCTTAGGAATTGCTTGGCGAGCTTTTAGATCGGGGATTATTTGCTCAAGCCGGATCCCACTGGAAGCAACGATCATAGATGTACTTGGTTTAATATTCAGTACTGTTCCGTTCATGTAGGGTAATAAGCTTCTCTTTGAAAAAGCTATTAAATCTCGCATAATATTCGCGTTACTATAGGATATGGAGTAACACATCTACATTGAAAAATTATTATTGTTACACAGTCATCCTTAAAGAGCAGGGATAAAACACATAAAATAATAGATAATGGGGTTATCTGTAGGTAACTGCAAAGTGTCAGTGTTTTCAACTGAGGTTTCTTGTCCGGATAGTTGGTATCTTTCACGTAAATACACATAATGTCTATGTTTAAATGCATCCATTGTGTCCGCCGTTGACGGCACTAACTTGAAAATGGTTCACCAAGGTCCCCAAACATCTACGTATAATGGTTTCCAAAGTGTGAACTGTTGTGCTTATCCTTGTGCTGTTTGTGCGCAAGCAAGCAATTTATTGTGCCTACAGAGCGTATGGTAGGGAAGTTAGGGAACAGCTTCGCCGCTACGGCATCAATGGGTCCACTGTTCGTTATATTAAGAAGGATGAAAAGCGGGCGAGATCTAGGACCGCAGTTTCCTTTAACCAGGACACAAATCGAGTTATAAGCGAACGTATTAAAACTGCAGTCGGGATGAAATCTGCTCTAAATATAGAACTTCGCGATGTTTCACGTTGCGTAGGGGGTTCTGGAACATGGTCCTTACGATCGAGTAAGAATCACTGCACACTGCATTTATCCCTCCCCTATTCTAGAAGACTGGTGATGTCCCTGTGAAGACACTGCATATTCAAAAGGTGTACGCCTATATCAGTCTGACTAACACTTCAGCGCCAAACACATTTCAGTCCTCGGGGTTTGTAAGTCCTAAACAGGTGACCTCTTATCAGGTTGCAGACAATGCCAAAGGCACACATACGAATACATCGGCACCCCAAACAGCAGTTGCTTCAAGTCTATCTATATCTCCCTCAAGCCAACCTCGGTTTGGGCTCCGTCGCAGGATTCCTTCGGTCGTATGGCTGACCGAATACGAAAAGAAAAAGTCCAAGCCAGTTGCCGTTTCCGACTCCCCTGGGCTTCCCAGTCCTACTTAAACCGTCCATTTATTTTTAACGGAGACTGGCTGGTGCTGAGTTGACCATAAATATGCTTTGTGAATTTAACAATAGAAGTGAACATTCCATTCCCAGGTGGTAAGTCAGAAAGAGGAAGGGCGTTCCCCGGGAGAGGTTTATTTTGTAGCTTACGTTTCTGATAATTGTCTCGTCTATCCATCTTCAGGGAGTGAATACTCTGGCTCCTGGCTCTCCCTATATGCAGCTCCTTTCTTCCGCGTGTGTAGTCTACCAGTCCAGGAACAATCGGGCCGTCAACCAGCGATACGGT